TTATAGAAACTTCTGAGCGTTATAAACTACTAGTTAAACCTCAGTAAAACCTCGTCCTCGCAATTCATGCAGGAACATTACAATACATATAGACAGTTCATAGGTTAGAATGTTTTAGAGTTCATAATCAAGCGATGAGGCTGCAATCCGGGAATAGTCTTCATTTCAGATAGCAAGAGTGAACATCACCAGAACGCATTCGAGTTCGTTGTTCGCCTTAAAAACAAAAGGAAAGACGCAAGAGAAAAAACGAGTGCTCTACCTGTACAGTGAGAAATTTGTGGAACTAGGTGATGAATGTATAGGTGGAAAGATAACTGAATAGTTAACCTGCACCTAAGGACGAAAAACGGACTCGTATTCATTTATGCAATGTTCGTTCCTCAAAATCCAAGATCTGATTGATTATGTTAGTGAATATATGCTAATGCCAACTAAACCGCCTTATAAAGCAACTTATGCATGCGGATTATTGTTATATGATATGGATGAAAATCAATTGTTGCTTGCCTCTGCAAATTCCATTGCCAGGCACAGAAAGCGAGTATACATGCATGATGGATCTAGCTGGAGTGTACTGTATAGTACATATATGATAACTTGAAACAGTATAGTGTTTCTCTCAGATTGTGTTTGCCATGCATTTTGGTTGTTTATGCATCCAACTGATGCACAGTCTGGTATTATATAGGTGGGTTTCACTAAGTGTTATACAACATGGGGAACACAACTTTACATTCATGTATTGAAGAATTATACCCACATTACATTGGGGGCTTGTCGTAGTCGTATTAGCGACTACATGTATGTACGTAACGGTAAATCGCGTGCATTTGCAACCATAGAGAAAATAACCGAAACACAACTGCGTTTCTTTTTAGAGGTGTTTAAAGTGCAGAACTAATCTCCTATTGACAGATATCTTCAGGCAAATTGTATTATTGCCAGCTAGTCTACAATTACAAATAGTACACCGTTATTGTGACTTTGTCTTTGGCACTTTTAAATATGTATGTGATGACATTGTAAGTCGTTAGTATTATTACCTATGTGCAACCCAATGGCAGTATAATTATAGCCAGTAAAGCAATTATTATTAAAGGCAAACGATTTTGATAGTTGAAATATTTCCACTTCAATGTACAATTGCCCTTAGCATTGCCCTATTCATATATATAAAGAATATTGCGGATTTACGAGATGTATGAAATCCTTTCTGGCTTGCGAGTTGTGACCTGATGACTGACCGAGGTCTGCAAAACATCAACTAATAAACTGTATACATTTTTTATATCTGAGAAGAGCGTGGGGAACCCATCTTCTCTTCGAATCTTGCCACGAGAAATAGTTGCGTATGCGAGTATATTAGTATAACTATTCGCGATACGATCGATCGAGCTATAAGTTTCAAGTTTGGAAGACCCGCATTAAACATGCGTGTATCGACATTCAATTTATTCAGGATTTAGTCCCGTTCAGTCACACTCAATATTAACAACACCAAGTATTTTGCCTAAGCATGCAAATTTAAAAGCGGCAGCCAGTAAGACTCAGCAATTTTGCTTATGCTTACGTCTCGATAATGATATTAATGAGGCCATAAGTCCGCCTTCGTTCCCAGATGCAGGTCAACTAAAATGACGTGTTTATATATACGCCGTGTATATGATATGTGTATGGTAAAACTATTGCGCAAATTGGTAGCCTGCGTAACAGGCGCTATTTAGGGGGGGGAGGGCGAGGGTGGGAACAAATCTTCTCTAGCCACCTTCAAGAATATTCTGAAAGAATACTACTACTCTGCTCTTTCATTAACTTTCGACCCTGACGACCCACGTACATGGAAGACAACCTGTGTCAAATGCAACTGTGTTCGAAGTTTGCTGATTCCCCCTTCTTCTTGTTTTTGAACCTCGCGCAACTGATTATTTATATTTTGGTAAAACCAGGGGCTTTCCATACCAGGTAATTCCATACCTTGGCTGTGGACAGGCATCGTCCAGATTATTTTCAAACTGGAATTGTGGGTAAATTTCAGTAAATGTGTGTATTAGGGTTTTTTCATATCCATGCTATTACATTGTATGGAAAGGTTTTGCTTTTACCAATGGTAAAATATATTTTTAGAAGTAAGTGTCAGATTGCTTGATCTCTTGGTTGGTTGACTGAACACGTCAATTGAACAGCTCGTTAATTGATTGATTGATTTTATTATTTAGTCCTTTTCCGTTTATTGTTCAGTAAACTTAACAAATTTTTCGAATATTGTGAAGGATCCGCAGTAATTGGCTGTAGCTGTTGCGGAAATCCTGCCTTGTTTATATATATAGTAATTTGATGTTTATTCTTAATATTGTTAGTGTTACCAAGGCAAAGTTAGATAAATTAAATTAAATTAAAGTAACTAACCAATTTTCATAGCTTTACTGATACAAAATAATCTGATATATCAAAATCCTTTTAATGTCTTAAATTACAAACTCCTACATATGGCTCGAAATGGACAAGCATTTCCTCTGTAAATCCCATTATATATTATATTTATTAATCAGAAGACACTGACAAGTTCTCCTTGAGGAGCTTTTAAATAATACATAAAAGCTATGATTAGTGTAACTAGGATTACAACAATTCGCAATCTTGACTTCTTGGTTTTTCCTATGATTTTCCAATGATTTTGGCGTAACCGCAATTCGTCATTGAAATGCCGATGCCATGCATGGTCCTGTCCAGTGCATTTCAAACGCACGCTGGCTAGGATCATGGCGTCAGCATCATGACGTGGCAGCGGTTACTTGAGTCATAGAATATATAATAGACCAGAAGCCTCACTGTACACCTTTCCTTAACATTTTCGTGTCCGCGATTTTCGCCTTGCGGATCACGAATTTCGCACGCTAGATGACGTGTGTGACACTTGCTGCGAACATCACGTCAGCGTTCGTCAGCAAAACGGTTAAAACAGCAATCTTTATTACCTGGTAATGGCAATTGATGGCGTAATTGCTCGCGTTTGATGGCGTGGATTACACTTGCTGGCTCGCGCCTGCGCATAAAAAATCTCGGAGATAATTTTGGCTGAGTGAGGCTTCTGGTCTTATTTTCTATCCTGTGCTTGAGTCCATCTCTTGTCAGTGGCGGACACTAGGGGGGCAAAGGGGTGGCCCGAGCCCCCCCCCCCGCCCCAATAATTTTTAAAGACTATAAAAATGCTGTACCAAATAACACAAATCACACTCATATAACGTAATTGTCATATTAAACAATAACTATTTGATAAAACTTAAGCTAAAACAGTAAGCAATATACCAAACAAATCAATATAATAATATACGTTTCTGTACTGTACTGTACATGACACAACATACGCATTTTATACATTCTTTTTGACGGTACTAGGGGGTCAACTTTCTGCAACAGGCACTTCTTTAAATGTCATTGTCGATTTTTTGTTGTTTTTGAAGCTTATACTATTGTTTAGCAGCGAAATTTTCTGCTGCACAATAATATTTGAATGCGTATTTGAAACTATTATGCTCAAAAACAACGGATAATTCAATTAAAACAGTGTTTTGAAAACCTAGTTTTTTACAAAATGTGTTCTCAGAATGCTGCAAATGCCATTTCCGGGATCCAAATTTTAAAATTTTTCCGTGCCTTCTGCACGAGCCCCCACCAATATTTTGTGAAGTGTCCTCCACTGCCTCCTGTGTGTCTTTATTCTGTGCCTTAATGGCTCTAATTGTAAATAATTCTAAGAGTCTACAAGGCCAGTGAGAGGTGAGGTCCCATTAGCCCCAGGACAAATTGTTGAACATGCCTCTCCCCCCCCCCCCGTATCTCTTGATTCTCATTTTGATGGCCACACCAAAGTCTATTTTTTTATCACAATCAACGAGGGAATCACCAGCGAATCACTTGCAAGAATTTGCTGGAAAATTTCAATGCCGATGGCAGATGTAGCGTGCATGCCAGCCTGCTCACAGGCATAGATTACAGGTCAGCCTCTGCCTGACAACGGCCTGCGAGCAGGCTACGTGCATGATGCATGTTAGTGTACCAGGGCTACGTGCATGATGCACGTGTTGAACATGACCTGTTCAATACAGGTAAATACCTCATTTAATCTCATAACTGATAAAGACGCAATGTAAATGATGTTTGGCTAACTTTTTTTCCAGAAAAAATATTGAAAAATTGTTTATTTCACATTTTGTTTGTTTTACGATCGATCATGACGATCAGCGGATAGTGTGCAAGTATGTGCAAACATAAAGGATGATAAACTATACGAAAATGTTACAGAGATTTCCATACCCCTCTAAGCACTCCGGGCCCTGGGTATTTTGCCCTCACGCCTCCCCCTGCATGGGCGTACCGGAAGGAAAAATTTAGGGGGGCGGCAAGAAATTTGCCCGACTTTTCAGGATTTTGCCCGACAAGTACCGAAAAATTTTTTTCCGGAATTTGTTATGGCGCCCTCCCCCCCCCCGTCGCCAAAAAAATTTCGGTCAGTGTACCATTTTAGGGGTCAAAAATTTTTTCCGGACATACCATCATTCTCCGGAACCTACAAAAATTTTGGAAACTTCAACAAATTTTCCGCAAAATTTACAAAATTTGTCCCATTTTTTTTTTTAATTATCCAAAATTGCCCGACTGTTCAGCGAATATTGCCCGACTGCCCAAAAAACTGGGGTGGCTACCCCCCCGCCCCCCTCCCGGTACGCCCATGTCCCCCTGTTTTGCCGGCTGACGGCTGTGAAGGCCCATTTCCACTCAAGAAAATGTTCCGCGGAAAGAAAATTTTGTACAATTTGATTGGCTGACACAAATTTTCCGTCGGAAAAAACTTTTTGAAGTTGAAAAATTTTAACTTTTAACAATGATATTTTCGGAAAATTTTCCGTCCGTGGAAATTTTTCTTAAGTGGAAATGAGCCTTGAGAGTCTAAGAAAGTGTGAGAGAAAATTGACAATGATTAATACTTTGCGAAGAGACTATGATAAAGCATATTGTGACACATATGGTTGAGTGTCATCAAATTTACGAAGCTTTTGAACTGCAAATATCTGAAATAAATACAAATACAGCAAATATCTGAAATTAATGCATTATGAAATTCATTCGGCAAACAACATACACTCATTAAATGCATATGTGTGCATTATTTGTTCATGCTTAACACAATATTATATACCATTTGTACATGTATTGATTATGCTTTCATTTCATAGATGGGCATATAGGCTCAATGACCATACAGAATGACAGTTCTGTAGATATTGTATTTTAATGCCAATCTGTGGTGTGAAGAGACAGTGATTTAGCTATTGGGACACATGAGAATTGAGTTCATGAATGGATGATTCCTTATTATTGTAACTGATGGGTGCATGTAAAGCGATGGCCGATGGGGTTCCCTGTTTTGTCAGCAGGGGGTCATCGATGGGTGGCCCAGGGCAAAAAGTACAAATGTTTATTTACTATGAACTTTAATTAAAGAATTTGGGGGGAGAGGTTGTGACACCACTGTGAAGTACCTCTGCTAAATGTTTTCAAACTGATAGTTTTAATGACAAAAAAATGACATTTGAATGCTATTTTCAGTATTTTTCGGTATTTCAGGTAGCGGGGGGGAGTGGGCTATCAACTAATATGCGCCCCTATATTGTAACGCTTGATAAACGAGTGCTGTAGGCACGAGCCGAGCGCCGAAGGTGCGAGGTTTCTCTAGGGGGGTCCGGGGGCATGCCCCTTCGAAAAATTTTTGAATTTAGGGTCTCTGAAATGCCTTTTACTGGACTTTGGGGGGAAGGTTTGACAGAAATCTGATGGTCAGGAATCGATATTATAATGTGTCGAAATTTGCAATTTGGTTAGAATGTAGCAGTAGTACACTACTTAAATTGGGCAATGCTAACTAATTCCAGCGATTAATGATTTGAATACATTTACAGCTTATACATTTACAGCTCTTTTACACAATAACACACAAATTCCACGCATATGCATTTTAATGTTTGCTTGGCTACCAAAAGGGCGTGTTTCAGCATTACCTTACTACTTACATTACTCATGAGGTTTCTTGCACAAACAACCACTGCTCCCACTGCACCCAGTGCACGTACTGCAACCATTGCAACCAATGCTCCCACTGCACCCAATGCACCTACTGCAACCATTGCAACCACTGCAACCAATGCTCCCACTGCACCCAATGCACCTACTGCAACCACTGCAACCATTGCAACCACTGCTCCCACTGCACCCAGTGCACCTACTGCAACCACTGCAACCAATGCTCCCACTGCATCCAGTGCACCTACTACAACCACTGCAACTATTGCAACCACTGCAACCAATGCTCCCACTGCACCCAGTGCACCTACTACAACTACTGCAACCATTGCAACCACTGCAACCAATGCTCCCACTGCACCCAGTGCACCTACTACAACCACTGCAACCATTGCAACCACTGCAACCAATGCTCCCACTGCACCCAGTGCACCTACTACAACCACTGCAACCAATGCTCCCACTGCACCCAGTGCAACCAATGCTCCCACTGCACCACTGCACCTACTGCAACCACAGGAACCGCTATTTTGGCAGGATTGCGGTTGGAATCACTTCCGGCTTTGAGAAACGAAAATCATGTAGGGAAAACCCTTTCACCTAGCAGCCAATCACAGTGCGTCTTCCGAGCACTGCGAGATTACCCCCCCTATCAACTAACCCTACCCTAACTAAGCCCACCCTAATCAAACCCCCTACATTTTAGGATTCCCCCCCCCCGACGTAATTTTAGAACCCCTCTCCTCCCAAGAATTCCTTTTCGCCTTGCCTACACGCAGAGTACGGTTCACCACAGTTATACGAGTAAGTAAATTTCAATTTTTACATTCCGAAACCAAAAATCAACACAACACGCATTAGAATCATATCATTTTCACTCACCACAAAGCACACATACCAAATTCAACTAACATTCACACTGTTCCTAGACGAAATAATCAACAGATTTTTTCGCGCAAAACATGTATAATTCATCAAAGGAACAGAAATGAATATTTATATGCGAGCACGTAGTTCCAAGACCAGCTAGCGGGGTCGAAACGTGCTTTGCCGGTTATGCTTGGAGCCTGATGAGAACATAACCTTAGTTTTGAACACAAAACACATGGGACTTGACCTGGGTGGCGATACATTGGCATTCACCCAGGTCTTGGCATCATCACAATACATCTCACATTATAAACGCACCCGGGTTATGCCTGCGCGATCTTCACAAAAACAATCAACACGTCACAGTTTTACTATTCATGTCTCATTTTAGCTTGAATGTTCAGACTTATGTATCACTTATATTTCATATCAATTTACAACTCATATATCACCAGTATCATCACTTTATATCTATGTTATAAATCAAGCTTCACCAACATCATCACAGTCCATGCATCATCATAACATAATTCACTAAAATCATCATTATCTATACCATTCCAATTCTATCAGTCACACTGAATCGAAATTTCATTTCATTTCACTCCACACATCATTTGATGTTCATCCAATAGAATGTTCCAACAGGTCCAGCAGGGCCATTTCACAGCATTCCAGGATCTGAATACGTGCAACCACCTTTTTGATCCAATTCTAAAAAACAAACAACAAATTGTTAGACAATTTCTATCTAAATTTAAAATTCTATGTCGCAATAATGTTTCCACTTTTATTTGTGCAAGCGCAGCAAGAGTAGCAAGTGTAGCAAGCATAGCAAGAGTAGCAAGAGTAGCAAGCGTAGCAAGTGTGGCAAGCGTAGCAAGAGTAGCAAGAGTAGCAAGTGTAGCAAGCGTAGCAAGAGTAGCAAGCGTAGCAAGAGTAGCAAGCATAGCAAGTGTAGCAAGCGTAGCAAGCGTAGCAAGTGTAGCAAGAGTAGCAAGCGTAGCAAGCGTAGCAAGCGTAGCAAGAGTAGCAAGCGTAGCAAGAGTAGCAAGAGTAGCAAGCGTAGCAAGTGCAGCAAGCCTAGCAAGTGTAGCAAGTAGGGATTTTTTTAAAGTGCACTTGTACACAAAATGTGCGGAGTTCTAAATCAATTAGTGCAACTTTACAGCCTGGCACACACAATGCGATTTGATTTTAGTTGGCCGATAAAAATCGTTTGACTAAAACTAACAAAATCGTTGTGTGTGCGGTGTCATTTTTCACCGATTTTTGTTGCTCGATTTTAATCGGAGTATCGGACAACATCAAAACGTTTTGATATTATACGATTTTTATCGGTGGAATTGTAAGTATAAACATTTGTGGGTATACGACAGCACAGAAATAGAAAGGCGCAACAGTTTCAAAGAAAACTGGGACCAATTTTTGTGATTTCCAAACCCCCCTTCCTGGCCTAATGTGACCCCTGTCAGGCCCTGTGTACATGCAGGGTTTCTTTGCCCGCAACAGAACACCTAACACCTCAGGCCTGCATAATATAGCGGACCGCGGGACCATTGGTCCCAGAAAATTTTTGAGGTTGGCAGAAAAAAATGGAGGGTAAAACTTAAAAGTCTCAAAAGAAAAAAAGTAAAGAGAAAGAAAGAAAGGAAGAAAATAAGAAAAAATGACATAATTGAATAATAAGCTGTAGGTAGTGAACTAGTGATGTTTGCAACATGCAAGTAATACAAGTTTCCAATATACTGGTACAGGAGGCTCTCCAGCAGCCTGATACTATGGTCAAAGACAGGCAGACAGCAGTCTAGCAGATATTAAGATGAAATCCTCTATGCGGTTATAATTGATTTCATCTAGTGTATTAGCTACTTTTGAAAATACCACTCCAGTTATATATGAATACCACTCATTTAACAACTACAGTATGTGGATTAAAAAGTCTATATGAGTGTGGTGATTTCTTACAATGTAGTAAAAAATCTAAGCAATATGGTCCAATACACAACAGCCTTCCGCCCTTCTCATGAACTTTCATCCATTAAATTAAGATGATATTCATAACAAATATATTAAAATTATAAGAATCTAGAATCTTAAACTGCAGACAGTTCCCATTGGTCACTTTCATCATTCATTAAAATGTAGATGTTTGTTGTTAAATTAAAATATAAAGAATATTTATTCTTTAGCCATGTTGAAATATGTCTACCCTGCTGGCAGTGGTTTCGGAGCTGAGGAGAAACCACTGCCGGCGAGCAAACAAACGACTTTCTATCGAGCATACACAAAGATCACAGGGTGGGACAATACTAATTTGACTTCATTTGCTGTAGTTTGACAGTTTGTTATCTGTACGTAAAAAAGCGTGGCATAGTACTGTTTTCTTTGTTGTCTGTCTGACTTTTTATTCTACATGCAGTTCACAATTTACTTCTAAAAGATTTTGAAATCGGTGCCTCGCCACTACAAATTGTGCATTTGAATTTCTGTTATATCTTTTTCAAGTTTTGTATTTATCTGATCAATATCAATTTTTTTAAATTCGGTCTGCAAACTTTATTTGTGTTAAGGTTTTCGATAAATTCCAATTTCCAAAGTTTCAATATTGTTGATTTTGACAATATTGCAATTTTTGATCGTCGCGACCTCAACCGCTACAAATTTCAACTGATGAAAGATCGTCACGACGGCACTACTATTTCTGTAAAAGGTGTTGATTTTTTGTTGCAGTGTGTGAATTTATAGTTACTCTGTCAAACTGTATAGGCGGTTTTCAAGACATCTTAATGTATAATTTCAAACATTTTATTCAATATTTTGTAAAGTTATAATATTTTGTAAAAGGTAGTGTATATATGGCTTGTTACTATATTTAGAGCGTGATCATGTTGTTTTAGTACAACTGGCTCGCATTTTACTAGCAGTGCCAAGCAGTTACCCATGCGCACAATAACGAAAACTTGTCAAACTTGTTTTACTGGTTTCTCATTTAATGTATTCGTCCATGAATCTGGACGGCGGCTACAATGAAACAATCATTCGTTTGCTCGCAGTGGTTTCTCCTAGCAGCTCAGCTAGAAACCACTGCTAGCTGGGTAAAATACGTCTATTTTGGTTTCAAATCTAATGAAATGGTGCATAGAATACACTGAACCTTGTTTAGTGATGATCAAATTTAAACAAAGATTCACAGTGTTTGCGTGCAGAAAATATTTTTGTTGGCTTTGTGGTCCCAGAAAATAAAATATTTTATGCAGCCCTGTAACACCTATACACCAACTATTTCATTCAAGATTATTTCCTGCAAGAGTTTAAGTGAGTCTGCATATATATAAACAGCCTCTAAATAGTTTTCCCAACCTTTCTGTATATCAGTATCATATATATCAATATATTTCTGTAATGTGCGGATTAGTTGTATCTCACAAGTTCATACCATTGCTGTCTGCTACAGCTATTGTCACTACCTACACTGGCACTTTGTACCAAGAGTATAAATGTATTCAATGTGAACACATATGATATATATGATGGTCTGGAAACTAAACAGAAGTGATTATGTTATGTATTGTCTGAGTTCATGATCCCAGTTACAGGTGATTGAGCTCATTTGTATTTTCTTTTAATTAAGTTTCCATCCGATACAAGGGGTAGCTGAGATTTAGTGAAGCTAGAACAAATGATTCTGTCCATGGTGATCAGTACAGTTCAACATCAATCAAAGATCTTCTATTTTCTGGCTTTGAACTTTGCTGGACTTCCCGACGATCATATCTTCACGACGATCATATCTACCTCATCGAAAAATCTAAAGAAATTGCAAACAGTCCAGAACTTCGCATGCCGAATCATCACGTTTAATTATTATCAAGTTACTTTCAAATTGATATAGATCCAGCTTGCATGCATGTTACATCAAGATACTGTAGATGGATAACGATAAAAAGTTGTGTAAAAAGACTCATTCCCATATGATGGCCATTTCATCACATGCATGCTTTACAACATTACATGTATGTTCCTTATAGCAATTCTTGGAATTATAGTAATGAGTTCAAATCCATTTATAGAGGTTTTCAACTCATTACTAGAATTCCAATTCTCTTTGATTTTAAATTCTACTTAAGACATCTGAGGTTCGAATCTAATTTATAATTTTAATCCAGTTAAAATATCTGATAAACATAAATACTGTCAACAGTATTGAGTTAATCAATAGTAAAATGTTCTTGTTAAATTTAATAAATACCTTGATTAGCAACTACAGTCAAACCTCTCTATTAAGGAGGCTCCCTACAGTAGCGTGCCGGGATGTTCGCGGGACCAGTACGTGAACTATCCCACGCAACCGCATGATACAATACCGGTATAATTATATTATGTTAATTAATATTGTACATGCAACAGTACTTACTGCGTATCTACAGATTAGCCCATGAAATGGCGGTACACTTCCATCAAGGAGTAAAGTACTTCCAAGTGGGTGCATGCGTCTGGGTGCATTGCCATCAAATAGATTCTATATATATTTATTTATAATTTAATTGATAAATGCATGCAAGTGCAAACTGTACCACAGGCACAACTGAAATTATCTTAACACTCAAAACATAAATATAAGATTTATATACTAGCATTAAATTTATACAATAGCAGCATTCATTATGCCGGTATCAGTCAATTCCAGCAGTACCCATCCCCCGGGCCTTCACAGCTTTTCCTAATCCTGGGGAGTGGGGCTATTGCCTAATTTTTGTTAGCCCGGGGACTTCTACATTTCCCATCATGGGGTTTTTGGCAGATTTCACTGGAAAATATATTGAATTTGTTTGTGAATGGCTTCATACTCATTAATTTAATTAATTAACTAATTCTTTGGGAAAACTTGGAATTATAAAAATCTTTGGAGAATATCTTGTGGTTTAAAATCAATTGACAACAGAAATTTTATTTAAGAACCATCCTCAGAGATACGAAAAACTAGTTTCATATTAATCTGACATTGACTCAATAGCTCAATAGGTAGAGCGGCGGTCTAGATCGAAGATGCGAGTTCAAATTCCACTCAAGCCAACAAATGTTTCGTTGGTCGATTGCATTGTCAGTATGAAACAGAAATTTTGTTTGGAAAATAATTACAAATACAGCAGTGAAGTAAACCTGGTTTTCATATGTCGCCAATGGTCGGCAATGCTCTTCAGTACCTGTCTTTGATCATTGGTGAATAAAATCCTTTTTTAACAATGATCACTATCTAAACAATGATCTATGAGTGCATCGCCAACCATCACAACATATGAAACCTGGCTTGACTAAAGACAATATTTTTTTCCAAGATTGACATTTATATTGTCAAATGTCTATCTAGATGCACTGAAGTTAGGATTGAGAATTTATACTGTTACATTAATATAAAAGCATTTTTATTCTAGTTGTAGAACTTCTATTTTCTACTTCACATTTATTTAAAACAGTAGCGATTGATACACCGGGTGGAAAGCGTAATTTAAAAATGAAAATTAAAGCCCAGCAAATATATAAATATAATACACGCTTGTAAATAAGTTTAATTGCTCTGAAGATGTTATGAACAATACAACGAAACGTTAGCCAATAAATTTTATATTTAAATTGTTATGTCTTGTCTGAAAGTCATTTGCTGGGCTTTAATTTTCATTTTTAAATTACACATTTATATTGTCCATAGAATTATAAACGTGCAATTGAACGTGTACTAAACAGTCGAATGAGTCAATATTATTGCCCGGGTGTGGGGATATAGATCCAATTTTTTTTATTATGATATTATTATCCACGAGTGAATATAGCTTTTATACCAGTATAAATAAAATAGCATTTTAGTAATAATATCGGCATTCTGGTATAAACACAAGATGATGAATATGTATTAAAATATGCGCTTAGGCGCTTAGTATAATGCATTGTTTTGTAAATACCTAATCCCATCTTACTCAAACCGTCCTGACCGCGTAGCTCAGTTGGAAGAGCATTGGGCTAGTATTCCAAAGGTCGTAGGTTCGAATCCCACCGTGGCCGGGCATATTTTTCAAGCTCGCCCGGTGTAGATATACACTCAGAGTAACACCACAAATATCATATTCACCTGAGTACACTACACCAACACAGAAAAAATTTATAATCCCATCTATTATCATAATGCTCAAAAATATAAATGGAATATTTATACCATAAAATTTATACAATAGCGGCATTCATTAAATAACACAATATGATGAATATGTATTAAAATATGCGCTTAGTGAGGCGCTCAATAAAGTGAAATCTCATGTAAGTAATAATATCGGCATTCTGGTATTTACACAAGATGATGAATATCAGGAGGAATATGTATTAAACTAGAAATTACTATCGCAAGGAAAGTGCTGCCTCCCCCCCCCGCCTTCCATCGCATAAGCACATAAAGCACTCATAAGGCATCTGTTCAGGAGGTAGGAAAAGTACAATTTCAATATGAAAACACTTCGCACAAAATCGAAGCTCAGCTAAATATTCTAATTGTATTGACTTCCACAAATTCCTTACTCTTCAAGAAATTACTTCCTTGAAAATTCCTTCACCTAATCAAGTTTTTAATGATTTGCATTATTCAAATAGATGCAGGTTTATTAGCATACCATGACCATTTGTCATGGCTAGCTTGCCACTGAATACTGTCCAATATCATAGATAACAAATGATAATCCCCGAGCCGGCGGCGCGAAGCGCCGTGCGAGGGTACTAATTCCCCCCGGCTATTTACACCCGGGGAAACGAAAGTATTAGCGAAGTCTAAAGTTCATCAATGAGCGCGGGCGTCGGTCACCAACGATGGGTGGTCATCCTCACTGATCTCAAAAATATGGCGGACTGTCATGAATAACGGACGCTGATTGGTCCAATTTAAAGTTTGCATTATAACGACTGCATGACGACAGCGAAATAGCAAACATTTCTTGATTTGATGATTGATAAATTTCTTGCAAATATATTTCATTTTTGCTCGTATTTCTGCAAGATTTTGTAAATTTCAAGAAAGAAAGGGCGAAAGAATCAGCTAAAAGAAGGGAGCCGACGTTAACGAAAGTAAGTTTGTTTTAAATATTGATTTTATAATGGCTTTAAAACCCGACGGCCTTTGCGTATATGAAACAACTAAACAAGACAGCATATATAAATTTCAGTGTAACTTTAATATTGATTCCCTTTTTTATTATATTGAATTTTTTAAATAAAAGATAAAGCAAAGACCAAAGTTATTTGCAAGCGAGAATTTGTAATCATTTTATTGCAAACTCAAAGTTTATCGATAAATGTGGATTGTTTATATGAATATATTTGACATCTTAATACAAGACATAACTAACATAAAGTCCCAAAACTATGGTCCAAAACGGTCGTTTTATATGAATGTTACGAATCTAAAACGTGTTCGTAAAGCGAGCACTAACGCGCATGCGCAAGCAAATACTACGCTTAAAAGTCATATAAGATTAACTATAGTGTCCTTTAACAAACTATGCATAATTCTCGACATCCTCCGGGGGGAGGGAAAGTTTCTGTGTCCAACGCGCAATTCGTTCGCGTCCTTTTACAGCAGCCTCTCTCCTCGGGCGATGTGGGGGTTCCGAGGCTGGTGGTGGTTTCTCTGATGATAGGATGGGTTTTGCTTCCTGTTTGGTTGAAACTTCGAGAGGGTAGAGACGAGCAATAGGTCGGTTGGTTCTACCAGTGCTAGTACGAATATCAGCAGATCGAATCAGTCCATCGTTTCCACTAACGAGGTTCTCAATTACGGCAAGTCTCCAGTTGGCTCTGGGACCATCATCGTGAACTAACACAACGTCACCTTGCTTGACTTTCTGTTCGTTTGTGCCTGTTGTTTTGTGGAATTCACGAAGTGAGGTGAGATACTCGTGCCTCCACCGCATCCAAAAGGATTGTATTATTATCGATTGTTTCCTGGCTCTTTCTCGAACTTCGGAATCGTCGTCGAAATTGGGATCGTGTAGTTCCTCTTCTTCAACGATTAGGCGAGGTAATCTTCTGACGCGTCGTCCGTAGAGAAGGTGGGAAGGTGTCAAGGGTTCTGGATCGTCGGCTTCGGATGTGACATAGGTTATAGGGCGGTCATTGAGGACAGCTTCGATCTCGACTATGATCGTTTGTAGACCCTCTAGGTTTATATATGCGCGTCCAAGGATCTTCTTCAAGGTGGTTTTGGTTAGACCAATCAAGCGCTCCCAGAATCCTCCAAACCAAGGCGCCCTTTTCGGAATGAATTGCCATTCTACTCCTCGTTTGCTGAGAGAGTCGTGCAGTGCTTGTGAATTGAAGAGAGCTCTAAGTTCGTCTGCAGCCGATAAGTAAGTTGATGCGTTATCCGAGATCATCCTTTGTGGCAACGATTTGCGACTTGCAAATCTCCTGAATGCGTTCAGAAAACACTCAGTGGATAGGTCTGTCACAATCTCTAAATGTACAGCTCTGGTTACAGCACATGTGAAGAGGCAGATGTACACCTTCGTTTCGCCATTGTTATCACGTACGTAAAGGGCTCCGGTGAAGTCAACGCCGGTTGTCGTAAAGGGTTCTGTCTCGGTTGTTCTCGACTTGGGAAGTGGAGGTGGATCGGGGCGTGTATAGGCAGTCCCAGTGACCTTACGACAATTTACGCACCGTCTCAACAATTTTCTCACATACTGGCGGATGGATGGGATCCAATAGGTCTGACGTAATGTGGTCATTGTGGAGTTCACACCACTGTGGAGTATGTTTTCATGGGCGTTGTATACGACAAGATCTGTGAAAGGATGGTTCTTAGGTAGGAGGTATGGAAACTTCGCTGACGTGCTTAATGGCGCGTTGTGAATCCTCCCGCCACAACGAAGCAAATTGTCGGTGTCGAGGAAAAGACGCAGTTGTCGTATGAGTGGTAATCTTCGGGATGTTTTGGAAGACAGGTTCTCGATTTCCTCGGGGAAGGTAGTACTTTGACAGGAATGTGTCCATATCTGCTCGGCGAGGTTCAATTCTTTCGCGGTGAGGGGTCCAGAAGTGTCGCTTTTGTCTTTCCTTAGGAGAGCAATGAATCGCAGGACGTAGGCTGTAACTCGTAGTAGGTGATTCAGTTTGCTGTACTTCTCGATGTCAATGATGCGGTGTATTCCGGGTTGGCGATGTTCCGTGGGAATGCTGTCTCTTTCGGTTGCGTTGTGGTTGATTTCTTCTGATGAAATTGCTAGTGTCAGAGTAGGGGATAAGTCGGTTGAGGACCACGTCGGCCACTTGGACTCGCACGTTAACCAAGGTGGACCCTGTTTCCAAAGGACTGAAGAACAAAGTTGGGTTGCACTTAAGCCTCTCGTAAGTAGATCCGCCGGATTATCGTTGGTTGGACAATATCCCCATGTTGCCTTGGGAAGTAGATCTTTGATTGTTTGAACACGGTTTGTGATGAACTGGCTTAGACGTTTGTTGCTGGACAACCAATGTAAGACTATTTGACTGTCCGTCCAAAGTCTCACAGTGAGGTCACTGTACATGGTAGTTGTAGCAAGTGCGTTCTTGACATAGCTGGCCAACTGTGCGGCGGTGACAGCACCCATAAGCTCGAGTCTAGGTAGGGTTAGTTTCTTCAGGGGTGCAACACGTGTTCTAGCCACAAGAATTGCGATTTGCGGACCGTGTCGGAGATAAGCAACGGCGCCATAGGCCTTTATACTTGCATCCGAGAAGACATGGAGCTCGGGCTTGGTATTGTTAGGAATGATTGTGATGGGGCATCTCGGAACGTTCATGGTCTCTGAAACAATGTCGATATCTTCGGCTATGCTTAACCACTTCTCGCTCAGTTCTTGTGAAAGTGGTTCGTCCCATTCGATATTTTGTAGCCACAATTCTTGCATGAGTAACTTATCTCTAATAGTAACCGGGGATAACAGGCCCTGTGGGTCATAGATCTTCGAGGAATTGCTGAGGACTTCTCTTTTGGTCGGTAAGTTGAGGGATGGGGAGATGTGCTTAGGGGTGAGGGACAAAGTGTCTGTCAACGTATTCCACTGGAGGCCGAGAACATTAACAGTAGTTTTAGTATCAGCAGTTCCTTCTTGTAGACAGAGGCTCTTAAGTTGTGGACTGTTGGATGCCCAAGCTCGAAGGTTGAAGTTACCAGAGGACATAATGGATCGCGCCGACTTGTAATAGTGGGTGACATCATTTTCGGTGGGCTGTCCGGAAATGAGATTATCAACATATAGGTTTTCTTTCATGTCGGTAGCAATCTTTGAACTGTATTGGTCGAGGTGGGATTCGAGTGCTGAGCTGAGCATTAATGGTGAGCATGTAGCACCAAACAACACAACTTTGAATCGGTAGGCTTGAAACACGCTTTCGGGATCATCAGGTTGGGAAAGCCACAGGAATCGGGTACAGTCTCTGTCATCTTCGTGGAGTTGAACATGTAGAAATGCCTTCTCTATATCGGTGGAAAATGCAAATGGGTGGGTTTGAAAGCGCAGAAGAATTGAAAACATATCATTTAGCGATGGTGGCCCTGGCAGAAGACAATCATTCAAACTTGGGTGGTCTGTTGACTGGCGGCAGCTACAGTCATATACAATGCGAATAGGTGTGGTGGTAGAGTCCTTTTTTACAGGGTGGTGGGGGATGTAGTGGATCTTATCTGACATGTTGGTCGTAGACACCTTTTCAATGAATGCTTTCTCTTCTTGTTCTGCAATGATGTCACTATAGGTCTTCAAGAGTTTGGGGTCCTGTCCAAGGCGACGAGCTAGAAGTCGTGTTCTCTTCGCACATACAGCGTAGTTGGATGGTAGTGGGCGATGCTCCGTCCTCCATGGAAATCTTGCACAATAAGTGCCATCAGGAGAGCGAGTGATGTTAGTTTCCTTGAAGTTCCCAATCGCAGTCTGGTCGTTGGTTTCTGTGGGGGTCATTAACAAATCTAAAGGTGGTGGATCCCAAAACCGATTGGGGTCCATGCTCTCTACTTGATGATGAGGCATGGTAATGACATTTAACATGGTGGTGTTTGATGGGGCTTCTCCCCGGGGTAAGGGTCCCGATAGCAGATATCCAAGTTTAGACTCCATAGCTGTTGGATCAGCTCCTCTGATAATATGGTCTTGGACTATTTCCCAGTAGTAATTTGCTCCAATCAAGAGCGAGACTTCAAATTTCTCGTCTGAGGTGATTGGGTGGGCGAGTGGGATTCCCTTTAGGTATGGGAGAGTCCGGACGTTGGTGTGAATACGATTTTGCAAAGGTGTGGCAATCTTTGGAACGACCAAAACACTAACTGGTATTTTCTCACTTGTGATGCTTTCGATGTTGATGGTAACGGTTTCTAATGTGTGACTGGTTGGTT